CCGGATCTGGGAGACAATATTTCTTTGAATTGACTTTCAAACCTGGATAAATCTTCAACATTGAAAATTTGAAAGGCTGGTAAATTCTCAGTGGCAGCTCAGATCAGCTCTCTCTGTGTTAGAATCGACAATACTGTGTTATTGGAAGAAGATCATTAGCACTGAGCCATTTAAAAAGTCAAATATTTTCTAGGTTCCACAGAATATACAGATGATGCAAAGGCCTCCTGCAAGGGGGCTTCCTCTGTAAGAGAACATTTTTAAATGCTCTTCATTGCCAATGCAAAGCCTGTACTGAAGAAAGTGCTCAATAATAAAGTGTCAATGTAAAATTAGTTCACTTGTAAATAGGGTTTTTAAAACAGCAGGTTAATTACATGAAACAGGCTAACCTCTCAGGAGAATACTAGCATGGTGCTCAACATTTTTATTAAGAAAGTTGAAATGCACACCTCTTTCTGTACATAGCTTGATAAAAATATAACTGGGGAAGAAATAAAACTAACACAATAAAAGACATTGAATCATTTCTATGAAACTGTGCTTTGGGTGGCCTGAGCATTCTAACGTCACATCTTTTTCTAACTCTGGAATCATACACTGTCACCCAGTCTTCCCAGCCTGGATACCTCAGCATTATCTACAACTTTCTTTTCTTGTTTGTCCTCTATGACCAATTTATTACCAAATCTTTTCAATTTAGAAACAGCTCTAAATCCAGCCACTGCCATCCACATCCCAGCCAAAACTTGGTCTAAGGCCTTGTCATCTGGATCTTGATAGCCATTTTTAAAAAAGTTTTACTAAGTATTGCTAACAATAGCAAACACCTATGCAATGCTTACTCTCCACAATGCTACGAGATAGGTGCTGTTATTATCCTTTTTGCAAGGAAGGAAAATGGAGAACAGAGACTAAGTAACTTATCCGAAGTTACACAGCTTGTAAGTAGCAGATCTTGGAATTGAATTCATGGAGTCTGTCTCCAAAGTCTCTGCTCTTAAATCACTAAACTTACTGCTTCAGTTTTAATTTAATCCACTATTATTTTTGTTGTCGTCGCATTTTTTCTGAAAAAGTAATACAGTGGACTTGTTCAAAATTCAAAAGCTACAGAAGGCTGCATACTGAATACCTCCCTCCCTCCCTCCATCTGGGTCATTACCCAGACCCCTGTTCTGCAGGTAAGCAGCATGACCAGTTTCTTCAATAGCATGCCAAGCAATGGCTTATATGTTATTTTCCTCCTCACCCTCTCCCACGCAAATATAGTATACTGGATGTAATTTGGCATGTTGCCTTTTTCACTTAACAGCACATATTGAAGATAATTCCATATCAGTACAGGAAGAGCTTCATCATCTTTTTTTCCTTCTTCCTTTCTTTTTTTTTTTGAAAGAATGCAGATGGTCTAAACTAGGAGTGGGCATACTTTTTCTGTAAAGGGCCAGATAGTAAATATTTTAGGCTTTGTGATCCATATGGTCTCTGTCACATATGCTGCTGCTTAAAAAAAACCAAAAAAATCCCCAAACCTTTAAAGATGTAAAAACATTCTTGTCCCATGGGTTGTACAGGAACAGGCTGCAAGCCAGATTTGGCCACGAACCTAGTTTGCCGATCCTTGAACCAACAAGCTCTTACTTCGCTGTCCTGTAACCAGTCTTCTTCCAATGTGGCCCCTTCTGGAACTTTCTGAAAGAGCTATCTTCCTATCACACAAATCTGCCACTGCCCCTGCTCCCGTTAAACCCTCTATGGCTCCCTTTTCCCATCGAGGGGAAATTCGGACCACCTGGCGGTACCTATCGTGCCCTTCACGATCCACATACTTCTCCTTACCCCACTTCCATTGCACTGGTCTGTGCCACCATCAGCTCAACTCTTGCAGCGACCTCTTTGCCCCACTCTTGCTATACAACCTCTTGTCCCCAATCTAATCTCCACACTGCAGCCCAAGGAACTTTTACAAGTGCAGATCACATCTGGGAACCTCCAATAGCTTGTTGTTGCCCTAGAAAGAAGTCAACTTCCTTATCATAGTTGATAACGTGGGCCAGGTCTGCTCGGCCATCCTGTCTGACCTCATTGCCACCATCCTCTGTCCCTTCTCTCCCCACTCTCCAGCCACACTGACTTTCCTGTTCCTCAAACAAGCCACACTCTTTTCTGCCTCTGTGGGTGCTGTTCCCTTGGCTGGCTCCTTGAAGTTCACCTTCAGTCCAAATGCCGCTTCCTTAGTGTAGCCTTCCCTCATCTGCCAACCTAAAGGAGCCTCTCCACTTATCCTCCTTCACACCATCATGCTTTATTTTCTGCATGGTTCTTATGGCCATCTAGAATTATGTCTTGGTTTGTAGTTGCAGTCTTTCTGCTCTATTAGATGCTGTGGGCAGATCCAGTGCCCAGCGCATGGCCTGACACATATAAGACGAACACTAGAATTTTTCTGATTGAACAGTTGAAGAATTTCAGTCCAATTTACCTTTTCTGGTAGCTCTGTCCTCACTCCTCATGTTATATTTTAGTTTCCAGTCTGACTGGCCTTCTTACCAATCACTAAACGTGAATCACCCTGTTAAGGTTTTACATCTTTGCACATGTTGTCATCTCAGCTATCTCCTTCTCCGAGATACAAACTCCTACTCACCTATCAATACCCAGCTCAAATGTTATGTCTTCTATGAAGCTTTTATACTTTCCCTTGCTAGGGTCAAATTCTTCCTCTGGCAGTTCCCTGGGGGCACAACTCTGCTCAGAGAGGGATCAGTTGGGACTCTCTTACTCCCCTGAAGCAAGGTGCTCCCTTGTGCGGGGCACAGACATCCCTCTGCCTGCCAGATGGAGAGGCACAGAGACTAGGCTGCCCTCTGCACACCTGTGACTATGCCATCCACAAGGGCAACCAGATGTCCTTGGGGCCTGCCTCCTGCTGCCACATGCTGCTTATCCATGTGGACATAAACTACTCTGCCAGCTCACCCTCGAAGGGGGACACAAGGCTCTGGGCAGGTGGGCAAGAGCCCAGATGGCAGAAGAGACAGGGCAGAAAATGCAACCATTTCTTTATCCTTTCCTTTAGTTTTTTATTTTTTCCAGCTTTAGCAAGGTGTAATTGACAAATAAAAAATCCTATATATTTAAGGTATACAATATGATGACTTGTTATATGTTTACACTGTGAAAAGCACAGCAAAGGAAACAATCAACAAAATGAAAAGGCAATCTATGGAACTGGAGACAATATTTGCAAACCATATATTTGAGAAGGGGTTAATACCCAAAATATATAAGGAACTCATATAGCAAAAAACTCCCAGAAAACAAAAACCTGATTAAAAAATGCACAAAAGACCTGAATAGGTAGCTTTCTATAAGAGACATACATATGTCTAGGGAAAAAGTGCTCAACATCTTTATTCTTTGCTTTATATGAAGAAACTTTCCTTGCATATTCCTTCAGGGAATAATGGCAACAGGCAACAATTAGCATGTTTTTTCTAAGAAGAGCAGACTCCCTCTGCTGTAAAGTGTATTCTGGTGTAAAGGAGAAGAGAATGCTGGGATAGACTCACTGTTGTCTGGATAGATTAGAGAATTTGAGTGGGCACTGTGTAACTTTTCAGCTTATTGGGAAAATTCTATCTACCGAAGTGGATCTCAGACATTAGGGTAGTGGTATGCAGTGTGGTCCTTGGACCAGCAGCATTAGAATTGCCTGAACGTTTCTTGGAATTACAGGCTCTGGGCCCCACTTCACAGCTGACAAATCAAAATTTGATATTTTTTTTTTAGGCGAGGCAATCCTTGGTTGACTTCATAGATTGCAAGGACCTTGTCGTTTTACAATTATTTTTTTATTTTTTACACTTAAAGCACCTGGTTTTCCTAGGTGGTCTCCTATCCAAGTACTAACCAGGCCTGACCCTGCTTAGCTTCCGAGATCAGACGGGATCGGGCCTGTTTAGGGTGGCATGGCCGTAGACTGGAATTTGAATTTTAACACCTTAAAGTTTGAGAAAAACTGACCTACAATACCTGATTAAAGTGCAAGTTTGGAGTGCTATGCTCTAGAAATTCTGGTTTACTTGATCAGGATGAGATCCAGAAGTCTAACAAGTACCACCTACTTTTTCTTTCTGCCTACTTTTTGGAGTAACTGTGGTGTAGAGGTAGAGTTGTGTGGTGCAAACAGTACAGGCGCTGTATTTAGACTGACCTGAAATCAAATCTCAGCTCTACTAACTACAAGTTAGGTAATCCTGATGAACTACTTCATCTTGCTAAACTTTAGCTTTCTCAACTATAAAATGGAGATACTAAATGACGATACCTTTGGCTATCAGTTTTAAAGGTGATAGCATATGTAAAGTGCCTAGTACCGAATCTGTGGCACATAGTACATGTAAATGTTAAGTATTATAACTATTAGGTCAAACAGCTATCCATTGCTTGCACCATTGAAGGTTGGATAGGACTGGACAGTATTGATTAATTTCAGCTGTAGGGATGGAAAGGCCAAACCAAGCTTACCGAGGTGTGATGGCTGTGTTTTCTCTGTTACTTAACCCTGACCTTCAAGACACAAAGCAAAGATTAGACCACAGCAGCTATCAAACTTTACCATGCATCAAGAACCACCTAGGAAGCTAATTAAAAATGCTGATTCCTGGGTGCTGCTTCCAAGATATTCTGTTTCATCAAGTCTGGGGTATGGCCAGATCTGCAATTTTATCCATGGGAGATTTGATGCATGAGTCTTCCAACCTCACCCAGAGAAATAGTGATTTGGAGAATATGTGTATTTATTCAATAAATTTAGAGCTTGATGCATGTGGTGCCCTGGGCTGGTGCTGGGAAAAACACACAAGGACGAATAAGACTCTACCTGTGTCTGCCCTTGCTGGCAGCTGGGGCTTCCAAGGAGAATGTAGAGTCTGTACTGCTCTGTTAGGATATCAAAAAACAGCAGCCAAGAAGGGCAATGAAAAAAGCCATACCTGGGATTCTGCAGCTTCAATGCTGTGGGAGAGATTTCCGTTTTGAACAGGTTCTGAAGCATTGCTGGATGGTGTCATTTCGACTTCCGTGCTAGTGCTGTTTGGAAGCTCGATTTTTTCTGTGACATCATTTGGACACACACAAAGAAAGCAAATGGAGTTAATGGAGTAAGAGCCTATTGGAAAGAACATCCTAAAATGTTGGACCAAGGAAGAAGATAGTGGTCTCTGAGGGTGATAAGGCCCAGGGCTGGGGTTTCAACAAAAGGCAAAGAATTTTTACCATTTTCTCCATGCTTTTTTGGCACACTCGGCCCTCCAGCTCTGTTTAGTAGCTCTCTGACTTCTCACTCTGGCCTGATGTCCTAACTTGAGTGCCCTATCAGCTCCCCTGGTAAGTGTTCTCTAGACTAGGCAAATTTACCATCTAGCCATTCAAAAACAGGAACACAGATGTTTATTAGCCACACCATACCCAGTCTACACACTATTGTTCACACCCAGGATATCTCTCTCTCTCTCTCTCTCTCTCTCTCTCTCTCTCTCTCTCCTCTCTCTCTCTCTCTCTCTCTCTCTCTCTCTCTCATTCTCTCTCTCTCTTTTGTATTTATAGCTGGATCTTTTCTTTTGTACTACATTCTAGAAAGGATATTGGGTATCAGGAGACATGGGTCCTAGGCTCTGCTCTACCATATCAGGCTGTCACCTTAGGCAAGTCCACTCCTTCCTTTGGATTTCAGGATCCTTATCTGTGAGATGAGGGGGATTCAACTGGTTGATCTCCAAGGCCTATTGCTTCCAGCTCTAATTATCTCTGGCTCTGCCAGTGCCTCAGTGGCCATGGGGAGGGCAGGTTTGGGAAACAAAATGCCTGGAGAATGCTACTCAGCACATGCCACACCTGGGCATCTTATTGCAGGCAAGGCAAGGGGGAGATGAACAAGTAATGGAGACAAAGGCTGTATCATTCCTAAAGGAGACATTTGGATACAGTGATGTTATGGGTCAGCAAGTGCAGATGCTGTTTTCTTCTGGACATTGAGAAGTGAGTCCAGGGTAATGGTGAAGTACTGGAGCTCTTTGACACTAGGCATTTTGGATAGATTGGGTTCATACTTTGGCTCTACAACTTATGCTGTGTGACTGTTAGCAAGTGACTTAACTTCTCCAAGATTCAGTTTCCTCATCTGTAAAATTGGGGTGATAATGACAATAGTACCACTGCTACTACTGCTATTGCTACTACTGCTGCTATTACAATTACTAACAAAAACAACAATAACAATAACACAATCAAAGGGTCTGTCTGTAAAGATTAAATAATAAAATGCATACAAAGCACTTAGCACAGTGCCTGGTACAGAGCAAGCAAGTAAGAAACATAAGCTATTGTGATCCTCATAATGGTACCTGCCTTGAACTAGATTTGTTATTAGGGCTCATAGGAACATCTCCACGTGATCAGTGGTCAGGCACCAGCAGAGTCTGCCATGACTTCAGGGGGAGGGAAGTTAAAAGGCTCCTAGGCCCTCTGGCTGAGCTGGGCCAAGTCTTGACTTTCAGGAGACAATGAAGCTGTGTAGTTCAGTGTCAGGGTCACCAGGAGTACCAGCATGCTCATCAGTATGAGATAGGAGCAGTATTAGGCCACTCACAGAGTATCAAAATATGCTTTTTTCCTCTAGCAACTTCAGAAGAACTAAAATTTAATGTCACTGGAAAAATTCACTGGAAAATAATTTGAGAGTTACATAAAAATTGTTGTGCTTGAAGTGACCAAATTTCAAAAATCATAGGAAAGTATTTAAGTTTATTTATGTATTTTGTTGTGGAATGTAGAGACATAAATATATTTATATTTGGAAAACCATAGAAAGTCAAATTTATTTTATCTTTTCATGTTTTCAGTAGTGACAATGTGATATTCTCTTGTGTGTGGAAATGCCAGTTTATCCTAGCATGCTTGGTTCAGTTATTTAAACTAAAAAAATACTATGTACCTGGGGAAATATAAGAACTCTATTTGGAGGAGCTTATTGGCTGAAGTAATACAACTTTAGGATTAGCCTGAAATAGCTAAACTTGACTCTAACAACACAGGATACTGGGTACCAAAATGGAGTTAAGATGTCCAAGAAAAGATGTGAACAGATGAGAAGAAACAACTTTTCAGGCATGATATCTAACCTAATATGCACGTCTTAGCTTATGAAGTGCTTTTACATGCCGGCCTGAGGTCTCATCATCAAAGAAAATGTGAAAATATATCTGAACTTCCTTTGAAAAGCAAAGGTTTTGGATACACACTATTTTTTAGTTAGAAAGTTGTTCAGAGACCCTGAGAGCCCTGGAAGGATCCTTGGAGTTATGTATTTTATCTCCTCATGAAGGGTTACATCCAAGTCTAAGGTCAGCCAATCGTTAGGAGGAAGACTGGAATTGAACCCAGGCCTCTAAGTCTTGTGCTCCAAGCTTCTTCCTTGTGCAAGAGAGAAATCAAGAAGTGGTACAGAAAAATAGGTTGTGTAATTGAGCTTAAATATCACAAGTATAACTTAGCTTATGCAATTAGACTTTTGTGGTATGGCTTTGCATTTTTGTAATACAAAGCAAAATATGCTCATTAAAAAAAAAATTAGTCCAAGCTCACAGAAGCATAAAGAAGCAGTGAAAAAATATATAATTCATAAACCCAACTCCAAGAAGTAACTATTGTTAACACTTTAGCTTATGTCCTTCCAGTTTTTTTTTTTCATACCCAATAGGATCTTGGCTGTTTTCTCAGTCAATGATTTTTCCCTGAGCTAGAAGTCAGAATAACAGGAGAGGCAGAAACTCTTCTAAGGAGTATCATGTATTTTGAGTACACCACGGTTGAATTTTGCCTGCAGATAATTTTAGTTTCTTGGGCAATAGCATCATTTATAGCATAGATTCAGATTAGGTTAAATTTAGTTTGAATTTAGAATTAGAGAGCTATATTATGGTTATAGACAGGAGAGAAGGAACATCATGTTCCATGTTAAAATAAGATGCCTGAATGTCCCTATCTGGTCATATAGCTCAGAGAAAGTCAGCCAGAAGAGACCTGGACCAGTATTGCTGAATTCGTAAGAAAGGGGAGGCAGTGTCATCTTGCACGGATTCTGCCATTCAGTTTAGGAGTGACCAAGTGAACCATCTGGTAAGTCAGGGGGTGTGCTGTATGCAATGTCATAGGTTACCAGACAAGAATTTGGTTACCAGAGGAGAATTTCAGAAGGGGTACTGTCCCACTTTTTGTTAAATATTAAATGACAGGTATGTATATGTGTGTGTGTCTTCTTCATATGGAATCCCTAAAATAAAGTGATTTTCTACTCTTCAAGGGAGATACCTGGTTAGAAGCTGGTTGTATTTCAAGGTCCTAATAGGATCATTTACTCTTCCTGAAGTTCCCTTAGAGTAGGTGACACACTGTGTCTATCTATGCCCTATACCCATCAGGGGAAGTAGACCCCTTCTGACACTCAGTAAAGGGCTGAGCTGCAGGATTCTGTGTCTACACTGAGTCAAGGGTGCCCATGCTGAGTCTTGCTCTTTACTCCCCTTCACACACTGCAGGAAAGGCATGGGACAGAGGTCTCCCTGTACTCACCTACGTGATTGGCAGCCCCATTCTGCCTCTCATTCTCATCCATCTGGCATTTCTTCTTGGCAATCTTGTGGAGAATTGAAGCCTTTTCTCTGAACCTCCCTGAAGGAAGAGAAAGTGGTGGAAAGGAAACAGGATGAGGAGGAAGATAAAAAGAGAGGCGTATGGCAAATGGGGAAGCATTGACAGAGCAGGTACTTGGCTTCCGTAGTTATTCTGCACTATAGCAGCAACCACTCTTTTCTGTCTAATCCAAATGCCTTATGCCCAGCATGAAGAGCACCTTTTTATCTTTGTGGATTCTTTGAATCAATTCTCTATTTGAGAATCTTAAGTTGCCAGACCACAGATGAAAGGTTTGACTTGGACCTGTTCCTTCCCTCCTAATTGCTTACAAAACAAATGAAAGCATCGATCATCATTGAAACTCCCCCTATTTCTGAAATCCAAAACAAGTCCTAAAAGACATAACTACACTGAAAGCGTAGCCATATCTCTGGAATTAACTACTCATCTCACAACTGGCTTTTGACAATGGAAAGCCAAGCCCAGGGATCCTTTGATTTGACTTTGGTTTTCAAACATTTATCATAATTAACATTGCAGCTTCTAAACAAGTCAGGAGCATATATCAAAACTTTCCAAATGAGCTGAGTCAGCTGTAATTAAGGCATCAAGGAGGTAACTGATTCCTTTTGGGAATTTAAGGCAAAGAATGATTAACTGAGTACAGTCAGTGTCTGTTGCTGATGAAATTCTTAGGGAAAGGTGCTGGAAAAATGCCATTCTCAAAATAATCATTTTAAACAGCTGTACCACAAATATGATGCTTTGTTTCTTTTCTATTATTGATATAATTAATGATAAGTGCATGCAACAAGCACAGAAAAAGAAAAGCATGCAAAAGTGTCGAGATTAGTGAATAATAGCACATTTTTCTTTCTTCTTTAATCCTCGATTCTCCCCAACCCTGGGAATATTCAAGGTACAAAGGAGGCTCATTTTAAACTGACTGTTTATTGCCTAGGTTCAGATATGATATTTCTCCCCCAAAATACTACAATTTTCCCACTACGTATTGGTTGTTGGTTGTGTTCTCCAGCAGGATATTAACAGGGGATCTCATTCCACTTTTCTAGTTAGACCAAACCCAAACCAAACCCAAAATGTTTCTCTTGAAGAGTCTCTTCTCCTAGGATGGGGCACGGCAGTTTGGCAGCCACTCCCCTCCCTTTCTCAGGGGTGGAAAGCATGGTCACAATGATGGCTTGTGTGAATGGTTGGGAGGGATAGAAACTATAAAGAGTAGGATCAGCTGCTTCCAATGGTGAAGGTGACATAAGACAGAGCCCCTTCTGCTCACAAGCTCCATTAGTCGTAATCCTAGATGCCTTGCTACCACAAAAGAAACCTCTAGGATGTAAATACCAGAGGGCACATTCTCAGAGGAAGTAGGACAACATTACGTGGAGAAAGTAGGTCAGCATGCGGCTTGGGCTTCATGAGGAATGAGAAAGAAGGATGAGGTAATGGGCATGATGTCCGTCCTTGAGGGATGTTGAAGGTCAACATCATGTTCACTGTGCTGGAAAGTATTCTAAATTTAGCTGCTTCTATTTAACCTAGAAGGAAAACTCTGCGAAGAAAAAGAAAAAGGAAAGAAAGTCTGTGGGCATGGAAAAAGAGGAGGTACGAGGGAACAAAAAAGGAAAGAAAAAGGTGAGAAAAGAAAGAAATTCAAGGAAGGAGGGGGGCTGTTACCGTCCAGAGGTTGCCTGCGCAGCATGGATGAAAGACACTTTCCTGGCTGCCAAACCTAGTCTTGTTTGGGGACTAGACAATGAGGCATGGTTGTCAGGACTCTGAAGTCTTAAGGCCAAAGAGGAGTATTTCTCGTAGAAAACAACTCCAAGAAGTCTTCAAATCATCTATTGAAAAGCCCAGAAGAGGAAAAAGGAGGTTCTGAAACTTTATTGGAAATGACGTTTCTACTAACAAAACCGTCCTGTGGTCTCAGGGTCACTCTTTGAACTTGGAACATCCAGCACCTCTATGAAATAAAAATGATCAATAATTGCTATTTTAAAATCATATATAAAATAATAATAAAGCAAGAAAGCATTCAGAAGAGGAAATGAATAAGCCTGTGGAAATAAAACCTGAAATAACCCAATCTGAGTAATGCCCGAAAGTCATGAATCATGGCAGAGAAAATATTTGATTAAAACCAGCTAACTGCATATTGCTTGTGGTTACAAGAACCTTTTCAGAGCTTAGATGTATACCTGAGAGAAATGATTACAGAAGGGACTCAAAGCATGGAAGGGTTCGACCACTCCCTCTGCCAGGAAATACCTAACGGTCACTCATGGGCTGGTTTCCCCAAATTCTCTAAAAGAGGGCTGGAAGAACAGGGTAGGAACTGATTCTAAAATTGGGATTTCATAGGTTCGCAAACATTTTAACACATCAGCGAGGGTTTTCTAGACTGTGTGTCACCACTTTTCCTACTGCAGCTGCACCTTGGAGGTTCTATGTGATTGAAAGGTGGGAAGAATCAGCCTTTTGGGTTCTCCTTTGCTGTTTAGCCCTAGGGGCCTGCCACGAGCCAAAGCTGCAGTGGCTGCTGGGGAACTATCTTCTCCACCCACTTCTTCAATTTCTTTAATTCAACTTCTGTCTCAGTTAACACGACCCGACTGGCATTCTGCATTCTGAGTGCTGACAATGGCTGCTCGATAGCCTAAAAAGATTTTCTCTTAAAGATTAGTTTCTAGAAAAGCAGCAGGTGAAGGCCCACGTTCAGAATTTAGTAGATAGGTGCACTCCTTAAGTGGAGCAGAGCCTGACAAAGCAAGACATGTCCATTACAGTCCAACTGGGCACCCCTGGGATCGCTACAGGGCACTTTTTGAGAAAAGCTCTAAAGAGGAGGAGGTTAACAGGACAAGAGTGAGCACGAGGTATGTGGGGCAGAAGCCATCACAGAACCTATGATTCTCAAAGTGACCCTTGGGGTAGGAAGTCATGGCACCTTCAGGATCTGTTCAGCCTAAAGTCACAAGCTGGGGAGAATACCAAGCAGTGGGTATATGTTGGGGACAGGATAGTAGAGTGGTTAAATGGATATGACTTAGAGGCAGGTAGATCAGAGTTTAAGCCCTGCCTCTTTCACTTGCTCTGCTGGGTGAGTTTTGTTATGTCTGTGAATATTTCTGAGCTTCAGCTTTCCTGTTAAATAGGGATTCCAATGCCATTGGCTCATAAGTCAAATGCAAGGCTCAAGTGAGAAAATGTGTAAGGGGCTTATCATTGGAAGTACTCTGTAAATAAGAGGAAAAAAGAAAAGTAAACTAACAAAAAGCTCAGGGGCAAGGGTGACACGGCCCTGAATTGCTTTAGCAGAACCGCTGACACCTTTCCTTTTCTCAATCCACACTTGCGGGTTTGGGGAATTAGCTACATCCTGAACTGACAGTTTAAGCATCTCGGAGGATTTGTTGGATTGGGGTTCATGTTTCAGTGAGTCCTTCAATGTCAGTTTTTAAAACTGATTAGGAAAAAGATCACTTTCTATCTTCCCAAAATGGAGAAGGTCAAGGTGATGGAGTTGGCCTTCTGTGTTTTAAACACTGAGACCTTGGCAATCTTAAAAAGGAAAGATGGTGATCAGCTTTCTCCCATCCCCTGTGAGGCAAGGAACTACTGTTGCTGCACAGTGGATTTGGATAGGCTCAAAAGAACTTCCCGATTTTTTAACTGCCTGAGTTTTTTAACTCCTCTGTGTCTCAGGCTCTGAATTTTAAAATGGGGATCATAACAATGCTCATCTCATATAAATGTTAGAGGCCTCAATGTGTTGATACACATCAGCTGTTCAGATGGCCTCTGACATACCGTAAATGCTCAGGAATTGTTACTCAGAAACAGTTATTATTATGGAAGTGAATGACAGGACATTCTTCCCATAAATCACCGAAAATAAAAAAAAATTGATATTCAAAATAGAATTGATGCTTAGCAGCCTCAGGTACAGAAGACCTAGGTGGTAAAGGGATTGCTTCGATAAACTATTTTAGGCTCAGATTCTGCGTTGGCATAAAGGTTGACCATGAGAGAGAGATCTAAGAAACAACTGTAGCTTTGTGCCTGGGGATAAAGAATCGAGACATTTTTGAGTACTTTTCAAAGTGAGCAAAGGAGTGATTATTTAACATCTTTTAAGGCAACCTTAAAAAATATACTCTGTTGCAGTGTAAACTCTTAGAGTGTTGTATTTTTATCTAGCGACAGATATTTGTATACTTAAAATCTCAAAATAGCAAACTCCGCGCAAATCGTGAGGCACTTACGTCAAAATCTAGTGCACGATTTTAATATAGTTTAGCTTGGTTTAAAATTTGCAAAAGAATACCAGCTGAGCGTCCTGAGGGGAGTGTGTATTGAAAGGGCGGTAGGAAAGTGTGGAAGGAAAAGATCAAAGTGTAAGGGCCTAATGTGGATAAGAACAAATTTTAAAAAACGACCAGGAATCAAAATCCTTGACTCAATCACTCTGGCATAAAACAGAAGTCCCAAGCTGTGTAGCAAAATAATCTTTGAAGGGTCTGTTCACTCAAAGGAAATGAATTTTGCTTCTGTTTTGCTGTTAATTAATGAAAACTGCCCCTGGAAATTCCTTCACATCTTTCCCACAAGCCTGTAATAAGCAGTGTTACAAAGGGAGCTTTTGGATTGGTGGTCAGATTAGCCCCTGGCTGCCACGGAACAACCTGAGCATCAGCAACACAGAAGAGATGGGACAAAGAGATATTTAGGTGTAAAGAGGGCGCCCACACACACTTTGGTGAATAACCTTGATTTAGGAGAAAGAAAAAGAATGAAACAGAAGGGAAAACTTGAAAATAATGTTCTCGAATCTATTTTTGTGTTTTCAGTTCTGCATTTCCTGTCTTTGTCTTTATAGCTCATGGCTTGGCAGGTAGCTTAAAAAGAAAAAGTGCACCTGAACTTTCCCTCTGTTTTTTCCCTTGCCTTTTTTTTCTGGAAGCATAGACTTGTCATTCTGAGAAGACATGCAATGGAACTGATGTGACAATAAG